ATAAAGAGGTTAAATTTGTATGAATTTGCTCCCCAGGGTCGAGATTTAGTGTCCGTTGTCCGTTTTAGAGGCGTTTCTTTAGAGGAAATGTATGAGAATTTTGTTGGTTCATAGGAAACTGTCCGTATTAGAGAGGTGTCCGTATGGAGAGGTTCGATTGTGCCTAGCTGGAGAGAGGCACTGTGAGAGCAAAGTGTCTTGCCCAAGATCCAGAGGCGAGCGCACTATCCATGGGGTCACCACGCCTTCACATGAAAACTAGAAAAAGAGATCCAGAAAAAACTTTGATCACTCTCGTCAGTGGTTGGTGTACACCGCATTGCATTTCTCGTTCGCCCAATTCTATAACGACGACTTAAACACGGGACAGGCCTTCTCGATCCATGTTCAGTGAGGAAATGACCCTGAATGCTGAATGGGCGATAATGTTTCAGAAACTATGTTAGTTGACACAGAAAGTGAGTAAGTAATACTCTTTTATTTGCCAAACCGCATTTACAGAGCTATTGGCTGGTATTTGCTGATGTAACCACTCAATTACAGATGATTATTAATTGATAGTGACAGTGTTCCTATCAGTGGTCATAAAACAGACGAACTGGTAGCCGTTCATGTCAACATTCGCTGCGGACGGATCATTAATCAGATTATAAGAGTCATCAGTTCGGGTGACACTGGTCTCGCCAGGCTTATGAGACCATCTACCATCCCTATCTCTACGGTACCAGTGGAAATCGACACCTAGAGAAACGAACAAGATAAGTAAGTATTCAATTAACTAAGTTAGTAAGTATAAAATTTGGTCACGACAGGCGAAAAGTACGAATTTGGTCATGTCTAGTCGTCTGTAATTTCCAAAGATTTTCGCCAACGATAATTGCGAATGATCGTCTACAGATCTATTATTGTTACTGTGAACTACAGGCCTAATAATAATTATAAGCTACAAGATCGCTCTTTGGGTTCACGTTATATCGGTCAAGTAAAACAAACTTGTTCTTAAAATATTTTTGGCTCATTCTATGCTTTAGAAGCCGGAAAAGCAGCCCACACGAAGAACATTTGGTGGTGAACTACGTGTATAAAGGCTGAAAATGAATAACTAGTACTCAAACAATCAAATTGCACAGTTTGCATCTGAATACTACTGGAAAATTCTATCCACTGGAATACTCTATTCTATTGTCAAAAGTTTATCTCAGTGGCATAGGAGAATATCGTCGAATTGTGGATTACTAAATGTGACTTGCACTTACCGTCCTCAACTACAAGAGCCACCACATGTCTTGATCCTTGAGGGAAGTTGCCGTTCGCAACAACCGCCAATCCATCGGCAATTGAAGCAGCTCGCACTGCAGCGGCAGTTATTGCGGCATAGATTCCTGTTGAGCCTCTTCCAGGCTGTGCAAAGGTGTTGGTGATTTTGATGTTTGCGTAATTGTAGCAGTTGTTGTTTCTTTTCACGTTTGCGTCCATAAAAGGAGCTGGGTCAAACAGCGGTGCATAACGTTTCCTTCGAAGTTTTTGGGGGAGTACAGTTCCGGCCTTGATCGTCTGCAAAGTGCGCGCCACGATCTTATCTGGTATCGCACCTTGTGGCATGGTGGTGAACAGAGCTTCTTGAAGATCCACCGTTTTCGGACCCAAAATCAAGCGCTCTGCCTGTTCGTATACTACGATGAACCCCTTGTAACCCAACCTTGCTGGCATTTCATCTCTAGTGTGAAAGGTTTTAGCCTTTTTTGCGGCAACCAGAAGGAGTTGAATTTTCACCAACTTCGGATGATTGCCTGGAATCACCCATTCTGGATCTTTACGCCCGGAAAATATCCCCATAGTTACTGGAAGTTGTCCTAAGAACAACAAAAAAATAGCAATAATATCAGCAGCGGTAATCGATTCTCTCAGTCTCCTGCAGAACGCATGATGCCTTGATCTGCTAGCCCCTATGGTTATTCCAGGCAGCCAATACTCTAAATTGTATTATCTATGTTTTCTGTAATTACGGTTGAACCTCCCGTAAGCGCTTACGGGATGTGGTCGCTTACGAGAGCTTAGACCATCTTGGGTCACAATTTTACCTCATTAGCAAATACAGTCGAACCTCCCGTAAGCAAGCACCCAAAATGTCAAGCCTAGGTGGTTGGCTACGAGAGCTTAGACCATATTGGGTCAAAATTTAGCCTCATTAGCATATGGTAACTGCAGAGACCCATGTTTTAAATGTTTGTTCATGTGAAAAGTCAATTTCGAGAAAAAATCCGGTACTTACCATTAATATGTTCTCCCCTCTTGTACTACCAAGGAACGTGATCATATTACAACACCTTATTATCCAATTTACGCTCTATTATTTTCAAGCGGCTACGAGTGGAAGTATCCTCTCTTCAATCTCTTTCTTAGGTTGCCTGTTAGGTTCTTCGCATTTCGCTTCAAAGTATCGACTCAAAAGTAATCGAACTTACATGGCATGTAAAGTATCCAAAGATGGTAACCTTAGTGATAACCACATGTCAGTTATTACGCCATATCACGCGCGAATGACTTCACATCTCAAAAGATCTGCCGTTTTGGATTTCACAAACTTTTTTTAGAAATATCAGAACGGTCCAGAATGCATTTTAAAAAGCGAGAAGAAATATGAAGATGAAAGCACTGTACCGACTTTGCAAATTCTAAAATCTCTTTAAAACACATGTAGTACCTCGCAAAACTCTAAATTTCTGTAAAACACTCCTTGAAAACATCCTTAGTAACAACAACGTTAAGTTACGTGACCAATCCATTGACACACCAACATGTTCCCTGAAATATGTGCGGAAAAGTCAGACAGATGGACGACTATAGTTTGAATCCTGTTTAAAGAATAGCGCGAAATGGTTGAATTACTTCTAACAGACATATAAGCCAGGATAAAACTCATCAATTTTGCGATCGGATGTTTAATGATAACCCACGACGCGTGCGCAATATTTTGTGACATGATCCATTGTTACAAACCTCTTTTAAACAACGAATCGGGCCCTTGGCTATATGATACCATGTTACTTCTGTTGAAGAGGGAGATTGATTTGTGATGGACCCGTTGTTAGCGAGGATCAAATACGACGCTCGTCAAGTCTTTGATCAGGTTTTTAATGTTGACCAATAACGCGTACGGAAACCGCGTAAAATCAAAGTGACACGAGGTTTGGTGAAGAAGTAGAAAATCAACTACAATAAGGTTTTGCAGGCAAGTAAAGAAAGACAAGTATGTCAAACGACCAACAGGTTGTTTAATATTAATTTGTCTATCCTTTAGCTTCTGTCCGGTGGCAAAGTATAGATTTATCTCAAATATCAGTAATTTGACTTGTTACTGAATAGAAATTGATAATTATCCTAAACAAAAAAGTTGAGTTCAGTTTGTTTGAAATTACCTATTCCCTTCCTCGACAATAAATAAGAAAATAAACAGAACAAAACACAAAGCAAATTAGAATTAAAATTTGTGCTTGACACTGACTCGTGTTAACGTTAGAAACAATGTTAATAAAACTTCAAAGACGTTTCGACCAAACAACTTCGGCCTTCATCGGTTTTTTAAAAAGCCAACTGTGAGACGGCTTTCTAATGGTTCACAGATCTGCGCGTGCTACGGCAGCAAAAACATAACGAACGACCACTGCGCGTTATTACGCGAGGGATGTCGATATGCTCGTTTCCCGAGTTGTTGCGAAGCAGATTACTATTTATCTACTTCTAGATAAAAACAAGTAAGTAAGTAAATAAATAAAAATAAATTAACAGGTTAATAGATAAAAACATTAATAAAGAACTACACAATCAAGTTATGCGATAAATAAAATAATTACAAAAAAAGTGTAAAATAAATAACTGTCAAAATGCTTGATTGTAAAAGCCATTTTCCAATTTCCCCTTGTTATGGTCTTTCGGAAGCCATTTAAAGTTACTACAGTATTCTTATAAATCAAAAAAACAAAAACAAA